ACCCCCTGCTGAGCTCCCGCCCCAGCCCCTGCAGCCCAGCACCCCCTGCTGAGCCCCGCCCCCTGCAGCCCAGCACCCCCTGCCCGCCCCCTGCAGCCCAGATGCACAGAGGTCCATCACTCAGAGCCAGGGACAGCGCCCCCTCTAGTTTCCCAGGCAGAGTTTGCAGTGTGACCGTACCACACCCTGCTGCATGGAGTGAGAGGCAGCGTGTGGCGCCAAGCTCCAGCGGGGAAGCTAAGGTGGGACCCAGAACCCCAGCCGCTGACTCAGGGAGGGGCCTTGCCGGGCAGGATTTAACCCCCCAAGGCCACCGGGCCATGGTTACCTCCCCACCCAGGAAACGCCCCACCCTGGGCTAGCGCCGCAGCCCTGACACTGCCTCTTCTCACTGGGGGGTGTAACAGGAAAAGACTGAAGCTCAGATCATGGGGGCAGCAAGAGAGAGAACCCAGGAGTCCTGGCTCCCAGCCCCCCCTCCCCCCGCTCTAACCACTAGACCCCACTCCTCTCCCCACCTGAATCCGGGCTGGGCAGAGAGCTGCCTGCAGCTTTGGTTTGGTTGTGTAGGACCCGATCCAGGGAAGCGACCGCTGTGGCCAGCAGGGAATGGGTCCGAACTACAGGCGACAGAATAAATCCTATTGGGGGGGTCTTGGTCTCCCAACTCCCTGCCTCCTGAGCCACACTTCCCCTCTGGGGGTGCACCTCTTGGCTTCTGCCTCCGGGGGGGTCAATTCCCAGGCTTGCAATACCAGCCTCCCGACAGCAGGTGCGCAGTAGCTGAGGAGGGAGCTAGGCACACTCGGCTGCAGCAAATTCAGAGTGGGCGGGAGTTATGCACAAACCATTTGCTGGGGGTTGGTTCTGCGGCGCACGTTAGACTGCAATGGGCACAAGTGGAGCAGGAGGGTGGAGAAAAACAAACAGGTGATTGGTTAGAAACCCTTTTTTTTTTTTGGTGCCAGAGCCAAAGAAGGAAAAAATAACCCAGGGGAGAGGTGGATCTGTGGCAGGTGGGAGAGCCATTCACCAGTGTCGTGAGCAGGAAAGGTCCGGTTTAGGAACAGGAAGAAGAACCCCGTTTTAGGAACAGGCTGAAAAATCCAGTGTTTCTGGCCTTTCCGGCGCGTTTTCACTCCCTTCTTTTCCGTCTCCCCTCCCCGGGAAGGAAGAAGGGAGCGGGGAAGCGGCTCCGTGGGCGCCATGGTGATTGGGATTGTTCGCACGGGGAAATCCAGGCACATGGAGAAGCGGCTGCTACGAAAAGAAGGAAGGGAATAGGGTGTAAAGGCTGGCAGAGGATTCAATTGCACGGGGTGTGTGTGTGTGTGTGTGTCTTGGATGCCCTCCTGGAGTCCCCGTGGGTGTGGAAACGGCCAGGTCATCTCCTCATGCGAGGCTGCACAGCGGTCTTGCTTTGTCACGAGGGCCGCGTATAATCTCTGCGAGTCGTCTGCCTCAATGCTCGTGCTGCGCACGACTGCCGAATGCTCTGATGAGGCACCGGGCAAACGCCCGGCCAGATTGGGAGCGATAGCCCAGCACGGTCAGCGGGAGGCGCTGCTCACGCGTGGGCACTCCATTGGCTCTCACCCGCTGGGCACATTTTCACAAGCCATGGCTCACGTGCGCTGGGGCTGGATTGTAGAGCTAGTGTCCCATAGAGGGGAAAGGCCCCGTGTCCCATTCCCTGCTCCCCTGCGGGGGGACAGAAATCCCAGCCCAGGGGGATGTGCTCGGCTCCCAGGTTTGCACAATCGTGTTTGCACTTTTGCACAAGTCATGAGCCAGGCATCTCTTGTTTCCATCGCCAGCCACGTGCCCGGCTTACGTTTCTTGCTTCACGCTCCTCAGCTGTTTTCACCCAGTCTTCACTTGGCTGGCATGGCGTCACTAGCCGCTGTGCGGGTGTGCATGTTTTCACCCACCACTGCCTGTGCGTGCACAATCGCCTGGCACAATTTCACCAGTCATTGCTTGTTTCCCACGATTTCACCAGTCCCTTCTAAGGTGTCATGTTTCACCTGTCGCTGCTTGTAAGTGCACAATTGCCTGGCACGGTTTAACCAGTCACTGTCTGCACGCACAATCGCCTGGCATGGTTTAACCAGTCACTGTCTGTGCACGCACAATCGCCTGGAACGGTTTAACCAGTCACTGTCTGTGCGCTCACAATCGCCTGGCACGGTTTCACCAGTCACTGTCTGTGCACGCACAATCGCCTGGAACGGTTTAACCAGTCACTGTCTGTGCGCTCACAATCGCCTGGCACGGTTTCACCACTCCCTGCCCATCTTGCACAGTCTCCGGTCTCCTGGCCGCCCCGTGCTCCGTTCCCCCCCTGCCCCGCGGCTACGTGCGGCAGCCCCCGCAGCGGAAGTCGGCCTCCTGGACGGCGCTGTAGCTGCAGCCCACGCAGGCCACGTGGAACCAGGCGTCGCAGCCGTCACACTGCACCCACTGCACCGTCTCGTCCTGGGGCAGGTGGCAGCGCGGGGCCGCGCAGGGCTCCGCCGCCAGCAGCGTTTGCGAGAACACCTGGCAGGTGTCACGCAGTGGGTGCTTCCGCGGCCGCCCCCCCCGCTTCCT